GCACTCAACTCATTATATACAGTGCAACTTTTATATATTCTGAAAAATGTACTTACCGATGTGAGGGAAACATTTTGTGGAGCTAGAGACCATTCAAAACAATCCCACCTACATCTTGAATAAAATAATAGCCAACGATATAAAATACTTAGTTGATATGTTTTTAGACCGTGGGAAGTATTGTGTAAGAACAAAAGGGGGCTATTCGAACTAAAAGAAAACGATTTGTTTTTAATAATTAAAACTTTTATTTACTCTACCACACATTTTTAAATATACCAAAGTATATATTTTGTCCTGTAATGTTTAAGTGAACCACAAAATTGACATTAAAAAAATTCCTAAAAAAACAAAGTACCATAATTTATTTCTATATCGGTATTAATATATTAAATCTCTTGTTTAATCTTCAAATTTAATATTAATTTGGCCATCTAGTTATCGATTTGTTGTAATGATTGATGTACTTTCGGTGATAAGATGAACCTGTCAGAAAATAATTATTGTGTGAAATGAAATATAGTTGGAACAAAGGAAATTCTAGAACATATGCTGCAAACATGCCAAGGCCTATCAAATAGACGCTTGCAACTGTTGTTATTATACAGTGTCATAACCTAAAGATAATAGCTAAATATGAAACCGTTAAAATTTTCAAATGCGCAAAAATGTTCTGAGTACAAACCAAAAAAATTTTGTAAAAATATTAATACCGCAGGACTATAGAAATTTATTGGCAATCTCTAAGTAAAACTACTACCTTACTATGTCTCTAACTGGCATCAATAGGAATTCATACAGATATGTAGCAGCTTGATGCCAGCCAATTAAATCTACTCACCTATCTATTCTATCTAATTTAGGTAGATACCAGTTCCAATTGCATTCATTGAGCCACATTAGCATATTCTTATATAGATTTGGTATAAAAAAATGTACTTATTCTTATGAATTTGACCAATTTAATTGTGATAAGGATTCATATAGATATATAGCAGCTTGATGCCAGCCAATTAAATCTACCCACCTATCTATTCTATCTAATTTAGGTAGATACCAGTTCCGATTGCATACATTGAAACACATTAGCATATTCTTATATAGATTTGGCATAAAAAAATGCACTTATTCTTATGAATTTGCCCAATTTAATTGTGATAAGGACTCATATAGATATGTAGTAGCTTGATGCAGCCAGTTTAATCTACCTACCTATCTATTCTATCTAATTTAGGTAGATACCAGTTCCGATTGCATACATTGAAACACATTAGCATATTCTTATATAGATTTGGTATAAAAAAATGTACTTATTCTTATGAATTTGACCAATTTAATTGTGATAAGGACTCATATAGATATGTAGCAGCTTGATGCCAGCCAATTAAATCTACCCACCTATCTATTCTATCTAATTTAGGTAGATACCAGTTCCGATTGCATACATTGAAACACATTAGCATATTCTTATATAGATTTGGCATAAAGATGGCACTTATTCTTATGAATTTGACCAATTTAATTGTGATAGTGTAGACTTTCTTCCACAAAGAGTTTTCGATTTTCATTTATTAATTAAGATTTCAACTGTAAAATATAATTCTATTCTATTCATTCGGAATAAAGCTAAATAATTTTGTTTAAATTAACTTTTTATCTCTAATTAATTAACCTGAAATACTTTCTAAAGTCCAATGAAAAACTTGAAATGTATCTGTTTGTATGCAAGTGTTATATGTATCTGTCTTGTTCTCGTTTCTACTGCGAAGCCCAAATACCATCAGTTACAGTGCATCCGTTTTACGGTACAAGGACTACAAATGTTGTGCAAAAGCTACTTAAGTGTGTGCAAGAAAACATTTCAGCGCAGTCCAGTCCGGAATTCTAAAGTGTGCAGGTGCTGCTCTCAGTAGAAAATAAAATATTGTTGAAAACGTTTCAAATTAATTATTTTTATGTTGAAATTATTTTAAAAATAATTCTTAGAAATTCACTAAAAAATAATTGCTGAAAATATAAATTATTTAAAAAAAATAGAAAATTTTTGTGGTTTAATGAAAACCAGTTGCATTTAGTAACTGAAAATAAAAGAAATGAAGTTGAATATAATTTTGTGCATTTCAATTAAAAATATTTCCAACCCGAATAAAGTTTAGTGTTATTTTAAAACCAATTAATTTTTATTTCTTGCTGCAAAATGTATCCAATAAAATTTTACTTAAAAATCTTTTTATTTTAAGATTCTTCAGTTTACTTTAAATCTTGGTTAAATGTGGTTTTCTGTAGTGCTTTTCTATTTTTATTTTAACATAAGAAGTGCTCACCGGAGATCTCAGATACTAGTTATCATTTGATTGTATACACAACTTTTTGTACTAGAGTGTGTACTGGAAGTATAGCATACAGAATCCAGTTTCAAATCCCATTAAGTTCTAGTCTAAAAACAAATTTTAAAAACTCTTAAAAAATATTTGATAGATCTATTATATATGGCTACGTAAGAATAGACCTGATAACACAATGCGTGTGTACTAAAAGTACAGCATACATGATCTACCTATAAATACCATAAGGTTCTGTTGAATAAATAAATTTTAAAAAATATTTAAATTATGTTTAATGTGTCTATGTAAGAAAAGATCTGATAACACTATCAGGTTTATAACAGAACTATAACCCATTAAGTTTTGATCTATAATGAAGCTTTTAAATATATTAAAAGAATATTTGAAAGGTCTATCTAAGAAATAGAACTTTCAGCAGCCCCTAAATACACATAAATACCTATAACAAAATCTACATACAGAGATTAACCTTAATGTTTTCTTCCACTTTTCTTTAAATTATAACTATAAAATTGTTTGTTCTTGTTTTACCCATTTGAAGCCCCCATTTTTTGCTAGTTTGTAATTCTCTACTGTACACTTTCAGTGCTATTATCCAGCACTTTCGCTCATTTTTAATGCCATTTTTGCGAAATTGTGTTTTTTTTCGTCTTTACTATTTTTTTGGCTTGCTTTTGGTACTTTTAGCCAAAACTCTGATTTTTTTTATTTTACTATATGAGTAAATATATAAGCTAACTTCATTATATAAAGCTTGCGGGTTTAAAATAAAGTGGCTTACTTCGGAATTAAAATGACTTAAAGTAAAAGTAGCAATTCAAATGCAGCCCAATATTTTAAATTAAAATTCTCAATCAAAATTTTATAAAAAATGCAATATTTTCTAATTTTAATTAAAAGTTGTAAAGTTGTGAAGTTGTATTATTAAAGATGCTGTCAGTTTAACTAATATGATAGTTAATTTTATATACCCAACTGATATTTATTTTGGAGAGTTTGTAATCTTGAGAATTATTAAGTATACTATCTAGTTTCAAAATTTACTTATATAGGATATATGACTTTCTTTGATTATTTACATACACTACATATATTATAATATATTATAACCCATATATTCTTACATTATAATGAGGAGATATAAAAATGTGGCTCTTAAATCATTAACTTTGTTACATTTCTGCAAGCTAATGGTTTCAACAAGGCATGTTTTCTAAACACAGTAAGTCCCCTTATTAAATAGTAGCTAAGTTCCATGTTATATGAATTAGTATTCTACAAGTCACTTAGATTATATATAGTCATCAAACATTTACAGCCCAAAGCGATACACTTACTTTTTATATATAATATAACTTTCTTTAAAACTCTTCTTAGTTAATAAGAAATGATAGTAAAATAATAAACAATTCTTTTCACAAGAAATATAGACGTATTACCATATTATTTGATCTCTTACCATACCATATTTTTTATAGGGGATCATAATTTCTTTTAACAAAATTTTTGAGTATGTGGTATACAAATCCATCTTATAGGAACCCGTGTTTTGGGAGGGTTTTTTTGTATTACTTACATATGTTTTATATGAGTATGAGCATACATAATATGTTATTATTTAAACGTAAACTATATTTTATATATAGTAGTTTAAAGTATATATTTAAACTACTACATTACAAAAATCTTAATGCAACAAGTTAAGTGTCAAATAATAATTAGGTAACAAAATAAAAACAGCACCTAATTAAAAATTCAGCATTATTATAAATTCTAGTTTAGATGCAAATGAAAAGTATTTATATTAGAATTAAAAGTATTTTTCATTCTCTTTTCAGCACTTTTTGCCTTCGCTGCCATAGCGCTTCGGGAACTGTGTTCCATAATTACTCGCGTACAATTCAAATCCAAGTTGAGAAAATTCTAATAAAATAAATAGCGATTTTTGTATATAATATTTGAAATCAAAGCACAACTGAAAGGAAATGTTAATCAAAGACAACACAAAACTAGAAATGAAGACAACATCTGTCAAGATGAAATCTCGAACAATAGAACAGCCAGCTTTCCGACATTATTATACTCAGAGCCATATTTATCAGCAACACCGTTACCATTGCCAGCATTGTTATCATCTACAATGCAATCACCGTCGCCACCACCAATGCCATCATTGCCAACAGCAAAACCAACATTATCAAAATTTTATAAAACTCGCTGCATTCCAAGTATCGTCGATAGCCATCCATTGCATCGGCAACAACACAAGCAAAACAAAATGCAACTGCAACTGCAACTGCAACAGCAACAGCAACAGCAGCAGAATCAGAATCAAAATCAGAAATATAGGAAAATCAGTAAATTAATTATAATCGTTAGACTTATATGCTATTTTCTACTAACCTATTTTGGCAGCGTTAAAAAATATGTTAAATATCCGCACAAATTTACTACTATCTTCAAGATTCTTAGAAAATTATTTTCTGTTAGAACCTTTCCGTTTGCTTTAAACAATAATCCTAATCACTTCTACGATAAGCATTATTATTGTAATATTTACACATATAAAAGTAAAAATAAGAAATTTCAATATAAAATCGAAAGCAGAAAATATAAATCAACTAATATTAATAGCAGGAAAAGTGATTGTATCGATGTAATCAAAAAACCAGAGCCCTTGGGTTATGCTCAAAAGTTTCATTATATTTTTATTCGTATTCGTACTCGTAGCTTTATGAATATCAAAAAATATATTTATGATGCAGTAGATGATTTAATAAAAACAATAAGGACAACAACAATTCCTAGTACTTCCTTATATAAAAAATATGTTATAAATTTAACTGCAATTGCAACAAAAATTCTGAAGAAAATTGTTCGACTACAAGGAATTTGCATTATAATAAGACTGATATCATTAAAGAGATTTCTTCAAACTCCTATATCCCAACAGCAACAACAATCATTGGCGTTATTTAAACAACAAACACCACATTATTTTTTAAGTATACTTTCGACATTTCCTACATTCTCCACATCTTCCACATCTTCCACAACAAGTACAGCAATTCACTCAAACAATCATCACATCCGGAATGGATGTGTTAATGGTGGAACAGCTGGCAGACAACCTATGAAAGTAACTACGCAATCCTTTGAATTACCACAAAATTATCAAAGCCACAGTATACGTGATTCCAAAGTAGAAGTTACTGCTGTGCAGCACCGTCAGAAACGGCAGCGGCAACAGCGCCAACAGCGCCAACACCGCCAACAGCGGCTACAGCGCCAACAGCGACAACAGCAGCTGCCAACGTTTAGTAAAGGACTTTCAAAATGTTCTTATCCGAGTCAAATTTTAGTATTAAGGAAATGTTTGTTGAATATTAGTAACGAGCCGTGCAATATTGGCAGGTACTATCTGCCAATTCTACATCGAAATCTTATACTATTGATATTGTTATCGTCGCTGTGGCATGGTTCAGAATGTTTTCACGGCAACGTCAAGCCAAGCTTGAATACTGTTAAGACCAAATACGGTTCTCTACGCGGGGTTGTAGTGCGTTCATCTCCTTTGGTAGAAGCTTACTTAGGCATACCATACGCATCACCGCCTGTTGGAAGTCTAAGGTAAATTAAAATATGCCAATTTTTTAAATTTAATTAAAAAAATCAAGTAATTATAAGAGGAAAATATATCCAATGAATGAATTAAAACAAAATTTAAATTTTATTAATTTAATATGAAAAAATGTCTCTTATATACTGACTCGTATCCATAGATGGAATATTATTCCATTATATATATCTACCTACATATTTTATTTTTACTGGGCTTTAAGTCAGTTATTAAACACTTAAAATGGTTTTAAAACACACATCTAATTCGTTTAAGAAATTATGTACCAATAATATATATGAATTAGTTAATAAATATTAATATGGGTTGTATTTAGGGACAAGCTTTCTGTAGACTTCACCACACCCTAGGCATCTCTTTAGATATGTCTCATACGTACCAATAATTTTTTGAAATAAGCTAATAAATATGCTTCAAATTTTCATCTTTTTTTTTTCATTTATTTTAAAAACACACTCCTAGAATATTCCAAATAAATTCAAATATATATATGACGAAAATTAAATAAATAATTAAAAATGGATTTGTACTAAGAAGTTATCCATTTTATGGTCTTAAATGGTTAATAAAACTATTATCCATTATCCATATGTTTACTTTAGGGTTTACGATTTTATTATGTTTTTTTAAATAACGTTTAAATATATCAAAATTATGAAAACTAACTACAAAAATAGTGTGTCTTCTGTGGTAGGTACGTGATTATACAAAATTACTACATTTGAGGCAGTGAAAATCCACTAATAATTGCCGAAAGATCATTACACCCAGAACAACTCAATGTATTGTGTAAATTTTGTTCCAGAGATTTAATAGAACAGCACTTTACTAAAATGTGATGAATTGTGGGACAGAAGCTGTTAATTCTGATTACTAGAGCGACATAAAGATGAGATACAGACTTTTTTGAAATACAGATGAATATGACCGACGTAGTGCGGACATCGTCTTCAAAGTTGTCACCATTGAAACGGCCAAACGCAGAGAAAACATATGCGTAGAATATGCGTTCCTTTCAATTCATATATTTCAGTATTTATAACTGAATTTAAATAGTCAATCAAAATTACTCAAAATTTGATAGTAATTTAAACAACATTCACCTTCCATTATAAACTCACAAAAATTCCTACATCAAGTCTTTTCACATGTGGGCAGTTTGTAAATAATCCCCTCTTAATTAGCATAGAAATTTAATATTTCAATGCAACTGCACTTCACAACCGAATTGAATTTATGCTCTACTCAAATTAATCAAATGTTTTCCTCAATTTCAAATTTTTCCAAATGTCTGTTTTAATTTGAAATTTAATTAAAACAATTATGAATTATTATTCGAGTTCAATGCGTAGTGGTATTCTCCTGCCATCCTGCTGCCATCCTTTTCCCATCCCGTTGCTGTCTTGCTATCCTTTTGCTATCTCATTGTGTGGAAACAATTTAATAAAATATTCGATAACACAAAACTTTTGAAATACTTCACTTAAGCCACTAGGATATACTTATGTATAGTACAAACCAAGTAAGTTGTACAAGGCTGATAAGTAATTATACGAGTAGCAAAATAACTTCTGCCTACACACTATAGTTTTTCTCGATAAACGGAAATTGAAAACAAAAGTCATACACATAAAGGATTTCCCATCACTTCGAAACAGTTCTTTATTTATTATTGTGCCAAGCCAATTTCAATTTCAATTTCACTTTTAATTTTCGTTTGAACTTTCGATGATATGATTTTAATTAAGAAATTTTTAATAAAATTAAAATTCATCCAAATTGAGAAATCCTTTTCTTTACTATTGTAAGATATACAAAAAAAAGTTTCTGCAATAACGTCAATACAATACTTAGGTTAACAAATCAAAGGAAATTTTCAGATAAGTCCATCTACCTAGTGGGTTTACGTAGTCGTCGACTTCATCAATTGTAGTTATGTTATGTCAAATAATTCCATTAGGGTTTCGAAATAAATTTATATCTTGTTGAACCATTATACTTGCCATCAACCTTTTTCTAATATGCATTGGATAGAAACAAAGTTTATATTTGATGGTTTCACACACTTCTCATCACCGCGTCTTCTGCAATTGTGATTTACTGTATTACCAATGCATGTATCAGTCGATCTATAGGACACTTGCTAGAAATATAATAATATCCGAGGAAGACTTCATGTATATGTATTGCAAGAATCCTCTACAACTTTTTTGACCAGATAAATTCCTTTTAAAAATATTTTCTTCCTTGATTCCATTGACGATCCGTTTTATTTAGAAACATGTTTCTGGTTTTAAGTTTGCAACCTCCTAAAAAAACGCCAATAAACATTCTAATTGATTGTTTAAATTCGACCCATTAATTCCATCGATAGACTTTATTATTTTTTCAGCCATGTGCGCCTAGATAGAGTTATAGAATGAACTGATTTAGTTATTTGCACTCTTGATATATAATAGTCAGTTCTTGAAGGATAACATTATTCCCATTAAGTATTTTAGAGTGTCATTTCTTTCATATTCTTTCATAAGAATGTGAAAATGTGAGTTTATTCTTAATTGTTCTGCTTAAATATGCATTCCTTCTACATTGTTATAAAACTTCTACGTTTGTATAAAAATTAATAGCATCGATAGATACTTATTTTTTTTAACCCTGTCTGCCTATATGGAATAATGCTTCAAAATAACTGGGTTTTGTGTAATAGTAGTATGCAATAATCGGGTTTTAAAGAATTAAATACCAAATAAGTATGGTAAAATATATTTTTGATGGACATATTCACTGTCTGAATTCTTTTAAACGGATTACCGATAAGATGGCACATTTTCTACTATATAGTCAATTAGTTGAATGCATAGGATGGAGTCCAAAGTATCTAATATTGTGGTTCTTAAAAATGCTCTTATATCTAACACCTTAAATCTTTTTATTGTTGGAAGATGTTTCTTTACATATGTTCATTCCAGAAATGTTTTGTGTACATTTTGGCCTGGGTTATGATAGGCTTGTACCTTTTTGTAACAATAAATACTGTGGCAGAAACTGTCAATTCTAATTGTTACAGCCGCATCATTACCAACTTTTTTAGCATGAAATTGAGATATAGACACAAATAAAAACTCCACAATGTATTTTGTTTTGTTTTGACTTTATTGGTCAAGAAATTTCATGAATGTTTAACTAGACGTTTTAAAAATGTTATATGTCCACTAAGGTCATGCGATTTTTCAACAGTGGTCTTGTTTTCGTCAGGTTTAACAAAGACTCATGCATACGCGGACAATTTTTAGCTATCGTTGTTTATAAAACAAATACCTAGCAAGTTATAATGGAATTATTAACAGCAATGTATAGACAAGTTATTGAAACTATCCTCAAAAAGATCCATTACTGTAAGACGTACCATGGAGAACATTTGAAAGGCTCATTACTTCAAGATGGGACGTAGAGGATATTGAAATGATGTTTTATCTCATGCAAATTTTAATTTATTATAATTAAAATTTAATTGAAATTTCAAATACATATATATTCTATTTATATTTATTTTTGAAACCATAAAATAAATAACACTACATTACCGCCTTTATGAAGTGCACTATAGCTTTCACCAAACATTGTATTTTATATAATTTAATAATTAATAAATTATCAATATTTAAATATAAAGAATAATTTCAAAAGACCACTGATGATGGGTATTTGTCAAAAATCTATATGTTCAGCCCAAAAACTGTATTGCTGCAATTCACTACTGTTGCAAAAATCTGTCTATTGAAAGCAATAGTTTATTATTATTATTATTATTGTTAGGGGATATGGAACTGTCGGGTCTATTGTGCCCCCTTCTGGGCTTAGAGTAAGTCTTTAAGTAGCCCTATTGCATCATTAAAAAGTAGTATAGAATCTACTTTACAGAGTTTTATTGCCTCTTCCAAAGGAATTTACATTCCTAGGAGTTTATTTCGTATGTGCATTAGAGCAGGGCATTCTAACAGCACATGTGTGGCCGACTCCCCATTCTCTTTACAGAATCTACAGTTTGCATCCGTAAGTATACCCAGTTTTGTGAGGTGGTGTTTTAGTCTACAGTGCCCTGTTAGGATTCCTGTGATTATTCTAAGTTTTTCTTTTGATAGGTTCATACAATCCTGGTATCTCTTATTGTTATAGGTACCAATAAGTGATTTGGATTGTTTAATCCTGGTATATTATCTCAGTAATCCCTTTTATTCTGGTTCTCCTTTAAAGGAGCGTTTTATTTCCTAGTCCACAAAAAGGTTCCGGCCCCATTATCGGTGTGGCTGCTCCTAAGCAATAGTTAATATTAAGAATATAATTCATTTTAGAATATATAAAGTTTCTTTCGTCATAACTGACGTTATGACGTATCAATCAATCAATCAATCCAGTACGTTCCCAGGGGAACATTGGGCCATAACGAACTTTTTCCAACTGTCACGATTTTTTGCCAGGGTTTTAATTTCTCTAAAGGTTTTTCCGTTTGCTTGGATTTCTTTCTCCAGTGTTCGCTTCCACGTTTGCTTGGGCCTACCAGGTCTTCTGCTTCCTTGAGGATTCCATGTTAATGCTTGTTTGCAGATTTCATTTAGTGCCTTTCTCAAAGTGTGCCCGATCCATTGCCATTGTTATGACGTATACTATTCAAAAATTATATAGTTTTTCATGGTTGTTCATAATATATATGAAATTTATGCCTGATATTAAAAACGTTGGTCTCTTGTAGCTCCTTGTGGTCGCTTATAGTTCCTTTTGGTCTCTTGTGTTATTATCATCTGATGAACTACGAAAATTCCATACAAACTCGATATTATGTGTATTTATTGTATTTGATTATTTTATTTTCACGTATATACAATTGTTATACCATAAACAATGTCTTGCAAAAATTTTGAATGATGATATGAAGAAATAAATTTACAAATTTAATCACCAGTTGGCGCTCCTCTGCACCAACTTCAGATTA